TAAGAGTTGTATGAGCCCCAATAAAATGATTTTAAAAAGTTGTACAAGCCCACAATAAAATATTTTTAAAAACCAAAACATTAAATAAATAAATAAAATTCTGAAGGAATATAATAAGATCAACAGCTAAGAAAAGCACAATTAAAGGTATAAAATAAATGAATTCCTGGATTAATTTCTTAGGACTTGCAAAATAACCTGTATGACAAAGAATTATTATTGATTTTGAATTTTTCCTTTGACTACAGAGAGAGAAGAATTCCGGGAGCAAATGTGTGATTTCCATGAATTCCAGGACCACCACTACCATACAGGACCCAAAAAACCCAGAGCATGTGAAGACATTTACTTTTGACCTGGCCTATTGGTCTCACAGTGGATTTCAAAAGGATAAATATGGTGTACTTGTTGCAGCTGATCCTAGCAATAACTTTGCTGGCCAGGTAAATTGCTTCAAACACATTTTTAGTGTGCATTAGAACTTAAAGGCACTTGGAAGGTTTTTTTGTTCTACAGAGAGAACCCTAACTCCATTTTGAGTTTTGATATAAATTCAGAGATCATTCATTCTTTTTGACCATGAAGTCAGTCAGTGGCTGTGTGCAGATACGCCCAAAGCAAGTCTAGGGAAGGCAAGCTTATCCTCAGGCTGACACCAAGAACCAGGGAACCTGCTGGGCGTGTCTTTAATGATCTACAGACAAGAGCTGCTGCACCACGAGCTCAAAATTGGGCTCTTGACTAAGAGTCACATGGTCATGAGTTATACTCAGACCATCACTTTAGCAGAATTGACCTTTTTAAAATATGAAATTCTGTAGCTATCCTCATCATGGTCTTTCCTTCCCCTTCTGAGGATGAATTAATATACTGCCAATCATGATTTTCTGATGATTTCCTTTGTTTTTCAGCATTTATAATGAACCCCCTGGCCATGAAACACTGGGTTTCATTTCAGCCTCATGCTTATGGCTTCCCACATGCTGAAATTATTGTCTTTGTCCTATCTAAGGCTTAAAAGATGGGGCTTTCTACTCCCATAAAGAGGTAATTTTTTCTAATCATATTATTAGGGGCTCATACAACGCTTATTAAAATCCATACATACATCAGTTTTGTAGAGCACATTTGTACATTCATTGCCCTCATCCTCAAACATTTGCTCTCCACTTAAGCCCCTGGCATCAGCTCCTCATTTTTTCCCCTCCCTCCGTGCTCCCCCCAGTGTCTTGGAAATTAGTGGGCACTTCTATCTGTCTCATAAGTTTGTTATGAGTTGGCGTTGACTCAATAGCAGTGAGATTATTATTTTTTTCTTTCTATAGAACATGCTTAAATGTGAGGTCATTACCCCCATCCAAAACAAGACATAGTTGTTGGTGTGATTTTTTTTTTTTAATGAAATACTCACAATGACACAGTACAATAATTTTAATGAAAGCATGCTATATGATATGCTTCCACCTGAGAATTCATCACTACTTTCAATTTTTACTTTTTGAGATCCTAAAACAATGCTTGTTGCCTGATTTTCATACTCACAAATCAACTGATGTGCCATTATGTTGACATACTTTGAAAAGGAAATGGCTGCCAAGTTTATTATATTTTGTCTCTCCGATTTAAGCAACATTTAGGAGACAATCGGCATGGGAGAACTTTTTATTTTCAATCAAGCAATTATCATGTACCATGTATCGTTACAGCTCTTTCTTCAAGTTGCTCACAATCTGGTATGAAAAGACAGCTATATAAATGCATTCAAATATTACAGATCCTATGATAAGAATGTGTAGGAGCTCCAGTGAATTACAAGAAGAGGTGGTCATTTCAAAGGTGTGTAGCAGGGTCGTATCCTCTCACCATCTGTATTCAATCTATAAACTGAGAAAATCATCGGAGAAGCTGGATTACATGAAAAAGAATGTGGCATCAGGTTTGGAGGAAGGTTTATTAACAACCTTCGATATTCGGATGACACCTTGCTTGCTGAAGTGAGGAGTACTTTAAGCACTTGCTGATGAAAATCACTAGAGTTTTCGATATTCG